TTAAAATAGACATGCTGCTTGATTCTGTGTTTTATGTCATCATCATCATCATCATATGGTGCTACAGCCCGGGGTGGGCCTTGACCTGTTGTACAATCATCCTCCAAAGATTTCTGTCGGCTGCACAGCTTCTCCAGTTGGTAACGCCAACTTTTCTCAAGTCCTGTTCTATATTATCTTTCCATCTGAGCCTAGGTCTGCCTCTGCTGCGCGTATTCATTGGTGTAGCCCTCATTATTGATTTTGGCAGTCTTTCTTCCGGCATTCTATACACATGCCCGGCCCACTTGATTCTTTGACTTTTGACGAAGCGTACAATATCTTCACCCCTAATTAGATTAAGTAGTTCTGCGTTTGATCTCATGTAGTAGTTTCCAGTATCATCCTGCTTGGGTCCATAAATTTTTCTTAGAATTTTTCTTTCAAATATACGTAACATATTCTCATCTGCCACGGTGAGCGTCCATACCTCGCCACCATAAGTTACGACCGGCCTAATCAATGTTTTGTACATTTGAAGTTTGCAGGTTCTGGTAAGTAGTTTGGATTTAAACAATTTCTCATAAGCGTAGTAGCATTTATTTCCTGCTAATATTCTACTTTGGATGCATCTATTTGTGTCGTTCATATTATTTATTTGAGCACCCAGATACGAAAACTCGCTTACGCCTTCAAAATTATATCTCCCAATAACAGTATTTTCTACGGTTCTTCTACTATTCGATCGCGATACTTTAAGATATTTTGTTTTATTTTCGTTTATTGTTAGACCAATATTTAAACAAGATTCTTCCAACTCCGTGAAGATTTCTTTTAGGTCTTGTAATCGCTTCGCCATTATAATTATATCATCTGCATATGCGCCTATTTGAGTTGATCTATATATTATATTTCCATCTCTGTACAAATGTCGAATCGCATAATGTAGTACCAAATTAAAAATAGTCGGTGAAAGAGTATCACCTTGTTTGACGCCAGCGCCAAACGTAAAAACCTCTGAAACTTCATTCTGCACCATTACTCGGGCTTTGGTTGCATCTAGTGTCATCATGACTAGTCTAATCAATTTTGATGGAATACCAAGACTCGACAGAGCCGTTATAATTGTATTCCTTTTGATACTATCAAATGCTTGTTTAAAATCTAAAAATAGCAGATGAACATCCTTGTTATATTCGTATAGTTTCTCCATACTTTGCTTCACCACAAAAATTTGATCTATAGTCGATCTGCCTTCCCTGAAACCGCATTGGTATTCATACAAAATGCCTTCTGCAAATGTTTTTAATCTTTTCGAAATGATACTAGCCAGTATCTTATATGCAGCATTCAAGAGAGTAATTCCCCTATAATTTTCACATATCGTTTTATCCCCTTTTTTCAAAATGGGTACAATAATACCGACGTTCCAGTTTTCGGGCATTATTTCCTCACTCCAAATTCTGCGTACTAGCCCATGAACAGATTCATGAAACCGACTGCCTGCGTTTTTTATCATCTCTGTTGTTATTGAATCTTCTCCGGGTGATTTGTGTGTCTTTAGAGAATCAATGGAGTTGAGCACTTCATCCATAGAAGGCTCATCGACACGTTCCTCCTGATCCCCCGCTGCCACCCATTGTGTTGTTTCTTCCCTTAATTCTGTATTCAATAACTCTTGAAAATATTGCTTCCATCTGTTAAGTATTTGCATTTTTTCAGTTAATATAATACCGTCCTTGTCTTTAACATTTATTAATTTTGGTTGGAAGCCAGCTTTTTCATGTTTTAATTTAGCATAGAATTTTCTTATGCTCTTGCTATTATGCGCTGAATTGATTTCTTCTACTCTTTTTTTTATGGCTGTACGCTTTTTTCTTTTACATATTTTGTCGGCAATTTTTCTCTTATTTTTGTAGTTTTCCTCGTTTCTTCTCGTCATTCTTTGCAGCATGATTTCCCTAGCCATATTTTTTTCTTTTATAGCATTGGCACATTCTTCGTCATACCACTCTTGATTTCTCCGCATTTGCTTCCTTCCTACCGTTTCCATTGTGCAAGTTACTAATGTTTTACTCAAATTTTCCCATTCCTGATTGATACTGTTATTGGCCTGCGCTGTTTGTTGGATGTTGTTGAACTGCTCTTCAATTTTATTTCTATATCTTGTGAGTGTGTTCTCGTCTTTTAATTTATCTGTGTCGTATTTATTTCTTTTTTGACCCCTATTCTTTCCAACGTTTGAGATCCTTTGTCTGATTTTAATTCGGATCATGTAGTGATCGCTATCACAGTTTGCAGCTCGGCAGGCCCTTACGTCTAGTATTGATGACATCCACCTTTTAGATACTAGTACATGGTCTATTTGGTTCACAGTACTGCTTCCTGGTACCTTCCATGTACCCTTATGTATATTTTTATGCGGAAAATGTGTGCTAACTATATATGTCGATGTACCCGAAGCAAGATGGCAAAGTCTTTCCCCATTTGGTGATGTTGTATCATGAAGGGAGTGTTGGCCAGCAACTTCCCTGGCAAAGACCTCCTTGCCTATCTTGTTTTATGTACCTTCAGAATACCAAGCTTTCGAACTTTAGGGGAAATCAAATTTTACCCTTATTTTATTTTTTAAGTTTTTTTCTAAATAGATAATTATCGTAAGAAATTTTTTAAAACCTTGAAATTTTTTTTATAGAATTTTGCCTAGCAGCTTAAGCTTTAATTTAAGAGCTCCAGCATTAAACTTTTTTTTTAATGTTACAGAAGATGTAGCGCAAGAACCATTTCTAAGTGAAGATTTTAAAGGCCTTATTTTTCACTATTTTTGATTTTTATTGATTTTAAGCGCTCTAATTATCAACTATCATTTATTTGTGATGACAAGAGTCACTCAAAAAGCAGTTGACATTTTTTAGAGCCATGATGCTCTGAAAATTATAAACCATCTGAATTTTAATTTTTTTATTGAAAAGTAACAATTAATAACAAAATTGAAACGAAATTTTGTACAAAATTTTTAATTGAAAAACAAAAATTGAATTTAAAAAATTTTAAATTTTTGAAAAGAAAAACTAGAATTTTGTATTACAAAAAAAATCTAGTAATCAAAAAATTTTTTTTCGAAACTTTTCTTGGTAAGAAAAATGGTACGTTTTTAATTTTTGCCAAATTTTGTAAGAAATGGTTCCTATATGGTTCAGAATTTTTAAATGCATTTTTCTCAGATTAGGTGCAATTTAAAAATTTGAGAAAATATTTTTCGGAAACTAGACACTATTTGGCATCTGAAATTATTAAAATTATCCAGCTGGAGCAAATTTTTAAAGGCATGCCATACAAATTTTGACATTTATTTTATTAGAAAAATTTTTTTTAATAGGAAAATTTAATTTTTTACACAAAATGGAGTTTGATGGTATAATGATATGATATTAAACTAACAAATAATTAATAAATCATTTAATTAATTATAAATAATTGAATTTAATTTAGTTTTATCAACTCTGGTTTGATTTTAATTAAATTTTTGGCTCACAAAATTTGTGGGTTTTGTGCTATATGACGACCTAAATTAAAGCTTAAAAGGCTGGAAAAATTCTATAAAAGAAAATTTTCGAGGTTTTAAAAATTTAGTTAGACAAAAATGAAAAACTAAAACAATACGTAAAAATTTTTGTGAAATCGCTGAACCTCGGAATTCCTTGAGATTTGGCACTTAATCCGGAATAAATGTTTTACCCATTTTCGATCCTCTAACCAATGAAATATGCTGTTGTATACCTTTCAGAATCACCCTGTATAACTATATTGATTAAATTCTTTTGAGATGAAAATTTCTTCCTCTTTAAAAATCTTCTTTTCTGATGGACTTTGAAATTTTCTAAGAGTTACTTTATGTTAAATTAAATGAAAAAAAAATGGATAGGAAAATGAACAACGAATTTGAAGTGATTTTTTTTTTTTGTAAATTATGTTCACTGAAATTTATAGAAAAGGGTTATAAAAATTAAGTGTTACAATAAAACCTGATTATAAAAATCATTTTTAAATTTATTTAAAAGATTTTTTTTATCAAAATACATAAAATTTGAAAGAGATCTAAATTTGAAATTTATTATTATTATTGTCAAACGAAATGTTTAGATGCAGCATTAATTATCGTGCAAGCTGTGCTGTTCTAGCTTAGAAAGAGCCAAACTGCCATCATTAAGATGCGTTAAATGCGGCTATGAGATTGCCGAGCAAAATCGTCATCATTTTAATGAGGAAAGAAATGAAAAATTGTGAAACGTTATAGTAGGATTAATAAGGTATGGCAGACACAAAAGAAAAATTTTATTAAGTCAAGCTAACACGAGTTCTGTCGTATAACAATAGCTAATACATAATTTAAATAGTTAAAAATTTTATTGACTATCTAGTAGCTTAAATTACTTGAGTTTTCCACCATTCTTCTGTGTTGAATAAAATTATTCTATACTTTGGAAACAACATTTAAGATTTAAATGAATGGCACTTCATATAAGATTTTCTTTTTTTAATAATTGAAGGGGTGAAAGTAGGTTACAATTTGTAGAATCTTATAAATGAGAAGGAGTAATTGTAATAATAAAAGTTAATTACATAAAATTTTCAATATTTAAGAAAATTAAAAATTATTTAAAGAATTTTTCTTTTCAAAAGTTTATTTAATTGTGATCAAGAAGCAGAAGAAGAGAAGGAAATTATTTTTAAGAAAATAATTATTAATAGCTAGGAGAATGAAAAATTATAATTTCTATAGGTACTTGAGTTCTCCGTTTTTTTTTATATAAATCAATAAAATTCTATTGAAAACAGTAAAGATTTTAATAAATGAAATGTGAAATTTTAATTATCAAAATTTTCTTGTAATTTTTCATTTTTTTTTTTAATTAGAAATACAAATTTAAAATTAAATTTTCTGCTCTATTTAATTTTTATTTAAATTTTTTGAAAAAAATTAAATAAAATAATTTTGAATTGAATTTATTTAATCATACCTTCGTTGGATCATCATCGGCTCCAAAAATACAATTATTTCCGAATTCATCTCTTGGTTCGATATGCAAAAGTGTTGGTGAACCGGCACAACAAACTACTGTACTAGCTGGTCGAATAAATCTAGAACGTCTTGCATCCATTGGACCCGGTACAAAACTTCTTGTAAATGGGCTACCAGCTATATGACTAGATCCAATTAATACAGATATTTTATATGTACCAGCTGTTCTAACTGTAAATTTAACTTTAGCAATATTAGCATTATTTGGATCTGTTGAGGATCCCAATTCACTAATGGTAACCACCTTAATTAAAAAAAAAATAAAAATATAATATTTTATTATATTGACTAGATCTATAAAATATTAATTGGAAATAAAAATTAAACTTACTTTACGTGTACCTTCAGTTACTTCAACAAAAAATTGATCAGTATCACAGATTGGATAAGGCTGTCCATTACGTTGAAAGAAACGTACAATAAAGCACATTGTATCACCAACAACATGCGGATCTTTCCAATCCCAATGTACTTTACAATTAGCTGGTAATAAATATTTACCAGTTACATATTGTAATAATGAATGTCGTGCCTCCGGTGCTAATGATGGTTGTGTCATTGCAGCTAATGTCACAAGTCCAGCTACAGAAACTGATACTACAAGCATACCACCCCATGTCCATGCATCTTGATGTTGTGATGATTTTACAACTGTTGACCATAATTGAGCTTTTAATGATTCTAATTGAGCTTTTGATGTTGGTAATTTTTGTCTTGCTTGTGACCAATTTGACCAATCTTTACCAAGTAATTTACTAGCTCTTGAATCTTCTAACCAATAAACATCTTCTAATGATACAACTTCAATTGCTATTAAACGTGAATAATGATGTTGTAATCTATGCTCTTTTAACCATTCTCTAAGTATCAGCTTCTGTTGTAAATGTAAGGCGGCACGTTGTAAACGTTGTTCATCACCAGGTGGTAATTCTGGTAAACGATCTGGATCACCACAGCTTGATAATGATGATATACCTAAAATAATAAAAATATAATCAAATAAATTATTAAAATTTAAATAAAATTAAATTTGAATTAAATTTTCAAAAAAAAAATTATTTAAATTGCCTGTGTTAAAGTTCGGAAATTCTTAAATGAAATTCTAAAAAAAAAGAATTTAGGAAATACTTTAAAATTTTTTTATAAAATTACTTTGTAATTCAAAATAAATCGAAAAACAACAAGTTTTAATAATAAATATTTCCAACATATAAAATTAAAGTTCACATAGAACGATGATGACGATAATGTAATTCTAAAGAATTTTCAAAAGTTTTCTCTTTAGACTTTTGACCTTTCATGTAAAAAATTTCTTGTCATGTGAAAATATTTAGTGTAGAGTAACAGAAATAGCAAAATAGAAAATAATAAAAGAGATTTCCGTTTTATTATAATTTTTCAGCTTATTTAAAGAATTTCAATTCAAGTAAATGCTAAATAAAAAGAATTTGGCTGCCATGTTTTTAAAATGTATAAAAATTATTATGGGATAAATCAACCGTTGGCAAACTTTTGTGGGCTATGGACGAATATATATTATGTGAGTATGAGCCACTCAAGCTTCTTACATTATCTACCTACGAGAAGAAATGACATTTTCAACTGATAGTTTTGTTTTGACAAATAATAAATTTTTATGGGATCTTATGTACCTATATCAATGTTATCTATGATTGAGTTCTTAAAATTTTTTTGAAGAAGTTGTTTACTTTAAAGATAGGTAATATCATTCAGAAATCATAAAAATTAATAAGATATTTGGTTTTGGCTATACTTATTCTTCGGCATAAGTTAAGCGGTCAAATAATAATTGTACTATGCGTTTATATAAGTTTAAAAGTTATATGTACCCGTGATTGCTAGCTCATAGCTAATATTATATTGTTCGAGCTCTCTTTAATTTTATTTCTTTGTTAATTTATTCTCTAAATTCAAATTAGAATATAAGTTACTAACTATTACAAAGTTCAGATTAACAACCGAATCTTTTCATCTTCAAAATGTTGTTTTATAATAAAATTAGTGCTTAAATTACCCTTTTGTTATGAGAAAAACAGAAACAAAAATCTCATTTGAATTTCTGTTTCAATATCTTTAAATTTAAATTTTCTTTAATTTTAACTCTCTTTAATATGATATTAATTGAGAATATTAATACATGCATATTATTCTAAAAATTGCATATTTTCAGGCTAAATATACATTTATTATTTTTATTGTTAAAATACATATTTGCAATATTTTTGACTATTTTGCGTATTTTCTCTTTTATTAACTCTCTTATATCTCGTATTGTCTCTAATATCTCAATTATACATAAAGTAGATTAAATATACATAAAAGTAATTTTTACTGTTATTACAGTTACGATAAAAGTTTTCTCATTTTATTGTTATTTTTTATTTATTATTATTATTATATGAAAATAGTAGCTTTTAATTTCACCTTAAAATTTCTTCAATTTCGATTTTATCATGAAAACATTGTTAGTATGAAAAAAGCAGAACCAAGTTTTTTTTTTTTTGGAAAACTTTCTCGTATGGCAAAATTTTTTTTTTTTTGTGCAAAATAGAAAATACTTGTTTTGTTATTAGTTTTTGTTGTTTTATTAATTTTTTCAATTACTTTTTTTTTTCTTCTTCCTAATAGATTTTAAATAGAAAAACAAGAAGCACAAGCAATACAATATACAAAAAAAAATTTTAATGTGGACAAAATATGATCAATCCCGTCTTATAATATTCGAATATTGTTCCTGTGGAAGATTTTTCAGAGTCTCATACTCAATTTTTAGACAAATTTTTTTTGTTAGTCATGGAATTTGGATCGTAAATTATCAAATTTGTATTGCGTCAAATCTTTTTTCGATATCGAAAAAGTCATTCGAAAATAATATTCTTAGTCTAGGCACTGAGTTTCATAATATTCCAGTTAGCCTTAAAGAAAAATTACAATTTTGTGGATATAGGGCTTTGAAAATCTTTACGAATTTATGGACTAATATATAGAGTAATATTTCATATATAGAGTTAATGGAAAAGGCTCAAATATTTTATGTAAACTATTCAAGCCAATTGGTAATCTAATGCGCCTTTGCAAAAATAAAATTATTCTAAAAACAAAAATTTAAGTTGCTAGAATTCTTTTTTTTAGTCTAAAAAATCAAAAAATCGATACACAATAATATTTTAATATTGAGGTTCAATATATTTCAAAGAAGGGGGACTTAAAAATTCGACGGATGGAATTTAATGTAAAGACAATACTTTCCATATTGTATGCAATACATTTGGTAGAAAGTAATTGAAACCACAAACCTCAATATAGAAATGAAAATTACGAAAACTATATAATAATGATATTGTGAACAATTTTCCTTTTCTTTTTGTTTTTTTTATTGAAAATTGATTTTCTTTCGGAATTAAAATACAAAAAAAATTCCATAAGCTATAAATTTATTTGACATTAGACTTGTATTATTTCTATTATTATGTGTGTGTATGTATGTTTCGATGTATGAAAAATGATAATTTAAAGTAATATAAATTCATTTCCGGTGTACAATATTTGACTAGTAGTAGTTGTACGAGAAAATTTTATTTAAATAAAATTTAATTTTTATATTTGAAAAGGAAATTTAAAATGGACTTAAAGAAAAATATGCGGTAGTTTTTTAAGATTATGATTTTGGTATCGATTTTATTGCATAGTATGAATGGGGATGCAATCTGAAAATTCAATATACAATTTAATATTCGATATTACTTGATAGTTATTTGAAATTATTCAAGTATAAAATTCATGCATGAAAAATATTTTTTAAATTAACTATCTAATTAAATAATTGAAATTATAAATTTCAATTCCAGAAGTTTTACCAAGGCAATGGCCAGTGTCAATTTATATAAAATATATAACATGGTTCTTTATGTCATAAAGAATTTAAGAGAGATTTTTAATAATTAAATTTTTTTAAATTGAGATTTTGTTAAAATTCCTCCATGATTAGGAGATTAATTAATTAATTTATAGCTAAAATAATTAAAATAATGTTTTGTAACAGAAAATTAAAATTGAAAGTGCCATGTGGTTCTTCATTTTATTAAAAGCTCGGATTTGCAATGGTCCGTTGTGTAAAATCCAGTCAAATTTCGGATCAATTAATCTTAAATTCGATCCGTTGTATAAAATCCAGTCAAATTTCGGATCATTTAAACTTAAATTTGAAAATTGTAATGAACCCGAAAGAAATTGTTTTGTTTTTTACTTAGACGTTTTAATTCTTTTTTTTTAAATCAATAATCTTATAAATTTTTATTCAATCTGGAATATTCTAACTTTGTAAAATCTTATTAATTTAACAGGAAATTTTCTAAGAAAACTAATTTAAATTAAAAAAATATTTATATACACAGGCTGATAACAGGGTCTCACTCAACACTAAACAAAAAAAACAAAATAGTACATGAAAATTCTAAATGCAAATTTTACGAATTCAAAAATATGTTAGAGCCCTTTGAATATAGATAAAAATCTATATTGCATACATTTACTTGAAACTATTTATCTTGACTTAAGGGGTTTTTCGAACTATTGCATTAGATAACCAGGCACTGCAATCTGAAGTAAAGTGAATCTATTAGACTCTTTCATCGCAACACATAGAGCTTATCTTTGAGAGTCCTTGTGATAAATTCGAATATCATTTGAGGTTTTCAAGCACGTTTAACTCAAAATTAGTTTTATTCATTTTCAATGTATAATAAAATTGATTGAAAAAATGAAGTTCTGGTGTTATTTTATAATTTTTCTTTAAGAAATTCTTTGAGATGGCATTCATTTTTTTTCTATTCTATTAAGCATTCAGTAAATTATTAATACTTGTAATTAGTGATGAGCGAAGTATATTTATTCGTTATTTGAATACTCGTAACTTGTAAGGTTCGAAGTACTCGTAAATCAAAAATACTCTTTATTCAATACTAGCACAGAGTTTTATTGGATTAATCGGATAATCAAAATGTGGCAGATTATAATAGAATTTTCTGATGTATTGTTGTTATTTGTTTAGGTGCGTGCGGTTATTAAGATTTTCCATTCAAATATAGTACTTGTGTATAGTTACGAGAATTTATGAGGTTTCTTGTTTTGCATTTAAATTAACTTTGAATAATGGACATTTTCGTTTTATTTTTTAGTTTATTCGGAATACTAGGAATGTTCTGAATATTTCAAAAGGAAAAATATTTTAGGATTACCTAGCAAAGAGAAAAGGTAACGGGTGTTATTCAGGGAAGTAATGAATCTCTACTACCACATCTCTACTAGCAATATTATGTTGGAATGAGAAATTTTTGTTTATAATTAATGTTACTATCGCAATATCTATTATTATCAGCAACGAACATCCCTTTCTCTTTCCATCCCTTTCTGCTATTAATCACAACACATAAATTGAAATTTAATAAATAGGTAAGTGAATCGTTTGTAATTTGAAAAACTTCGTAAATTAATTAAAAAATTCAATTATTGAACAAAAAATTATTATGACTTACATAAATAATTAAAATATGGTTAATGTTATAATTAAACATGAAAAACTTTCAGTAATATTATATTTTTTCGCAAAAAAACGCAAGTCGAGTTCTTACGAAGCCAGCGTATACATTTATGTTACTGGTCACGTTATAAAAGTAAAAGTTTACAATATTTTAATTATTTTAATAATTTTTCTCAAGAATAAATATCAGAAAATAATTATTATTGGAAAGGAATTATGCATATTATTCATTTTGAATTTTAAAATAGTTTAAATGCTAGCCCCATTCCGAAATTTCAAAAAATATATTTATAGTGGGATCGTTTCCATAATTTATAAATTGCCAGAAGATTTTCTTACATTCTATTTGGTTTAATTTTGTAATAAAAGTTTTTACATAGAATTTAAACACCACATTCAAGTAAAATAAC